GCCATCGCGCGTCCGGCCGGTCCCCAGGCGCAGCCTCAGTTTGCAGGCGCGCCGAGACGGGGTGTCAGGAGGCCCCGCCTTCCGCCCCGCCCCCCGCGCCTTCTTCCTGTGTCCCCACGACACCGCCCGTCTCCGCTCTTCCCCCGACCCACCCGCTCGGTCCCTCAAAAAGGAACTCTCTCCTTAAAAGTGACATGCGTTTTAAAAACCAGTTTTATCTTCATCACGCACCTCCAGCGCTTTTGATTTCTTTGGGGACAGGATGGGGTGGGGGGAGGGGCTGTCGCTCTCCGAAAGCCGCGTCCCGTTCGGCTGGCACCTAGGGCAGGGCCCAGACCCCGAGAGGCCCCGAACCGCTTCATTCCTGCAGCGCTTTCTACCAGCAGCAGCAGCAGCGGCAGCAGCGCGGAGCTTGCTTTTCCTGCCAGTTACTCAGTCGTTGGACCCTGGACAAGACAGCCTCTGTGAACCCCTCTCTCCTCAGACATTAAAAGAAAAGGGGGCGTTTGAGACAACTGTTAGAACGTGTGAGGTTACCTGGTGCTTTTCTATCCTCATTCCTGCATTTAAGTACATGCCACCTTGTCCTTAAGCCTGACACCTCCCTCCTCCCCCTGACCCCAATACTTAACTCCCTTAACTCAGAAGCTGGGATTTTCGGCCTTTGGTTTCTCTCGTCTCATTTTCCTCTGTTTTCCTCTTGCTTCCTCCATCTCAACTGTGGATTTTCCCTCAGGCTAAGGTGTCAGACCCATAATCTCCCTCTTGCTTTGGCCTCCCCCAAATTTATCTAGCCCAGGCTGCCGCAGGCACTTGAAATTCTCTCTCCTTTTGGTTAGTCTTGCTTGGCTTGCCCTCCACTCCAATCCACCACATCCCGGACCAGATTACCCTATTCTCAGAACCAGCTCCTCACAACAGCCTCCCTGTCTGCCCCTTTCAGGCAGAGAGGAGCACCATACTTGCCCCTGCCTAGGTGAGGGAGTTAAGCGAACTCTTAGTTATGTGAGCAGGACCCTGTTGCCTCCAACAGGACATCCTGCTGCCCTAATAAACACCAAAACATGTTGCAGGCTGTGAAACTGAGTGGAAATATGCATTCTTGTTGAAGTCACCTCCATCACCCTCTGCTGGGGGACCCAGTCACTCACTGAAGACTCTTGAATGATACTGCAAGAATTCATGAATTATTTCTTAAATTAGCCATAAAATCTTATAAGGTATCTCTACCAGTGAGATTTCTGGGACCAATGTCTTGTACCATGAAGCCTGCTACCTTAAGACATTCCCTATCATCTGTAGATACTGGGAACACAAGGTAGGTGCAGGGTGTAGCACAAAATGTGACAAAATCAAGTTTCTCCTCTGCCCTGGGCTGGTAGGATTTTCCAACTTAGAAAGGTGGGATGGGGTCAAACCTTCACACGCTGGGGAGCCACTGAAAGTTTTTGAGCTGGGAAATTATTCAACAGCAAACATCACCATGAAACACAAACAGCACCATGAGCCATGCCCAGTGTTAAGAGCATTACCCAGACTAATTTAATCTTATTGCTGTTCCTATTTGTACAGATGAGGTAACTGAGGCTTGGAGAAGGTAAATGACTTGCCTAAGAGCGCACAGTGAGGGGCAGAACTGAGTCCAACACAGGCCAGGTCCAAAGCCTCCACTCTTACCCTTTCATATGGAGCTGGATGTGATAAAGGGACTTCTGGACTAGCAGCTATCCTGCTGTTTAGACTGGCCAGCAATAGCTGTCAACCCCCTCGAGGGCAGGGCTGAGGAAAGGACTGCCCAGCCACCTGAGCTGGGGAAGTGTCCTCCATATCATGGTCTCCAGGCACTGGGTGAGGAATGATTGGGTGAGGCCCTCCTTGGTTGGACTCTTCTCTGATTAACAAGCAGTGCCAGCTTTTTCACATAGAGAAATGCTGTGCTTCCATCAAGCATTTTTAGAAGCACTCATCTGCCCAGTGTAGTAGACTTCATGAATCAAAAGTGGCTCAGAAAGCCTGGACCTGCAAATGTGTTAGGCACACAGCCCAAAAGGCTCTTCCTTTCATATACTGAGAACTTGCCACCAAAAGGAAGGCTGGGTGTATTTTTCATTCTGTGA